TCCTGAAATGCAATTGATGAAAAAAAAATTCGAGGAAATGGACCAAAAATTTGACCAAGTGTTTGCGCAATTTGACGAAGTAAAAAATCTTATTCAAGAAACATCCCTAAAAGCGCAGTATGGAGAATATGATCACACAATATCGGCTTTGTCTCATCGCTTAGAACAATTTCTAACCGCTTCAGCTGAGGCTGTAGAAGGACAGAAGGCGACATTTATCACTGCTTACGAGTCGTCTTACGGAAGCGCCACGTACAAACTCTGGCGCGGTATGATGGGGGAAACTGTTCTGTCGGATAACATTCTAGAAATAGCCATAAAATATACAGAAAACGACCGCGGACGAGTTCAAAAAATGATGAAAGGAGTTGCGAACTTAATATTACAGGGTGTGAAAATCCATTTATTCTATCTGAAAGCCAAAGGTCGGGATGCCACATATGAAGAAGAAAAGGAAACTTGGGAAGACCATATCATTCAGTTAACTGACCATATGCAAGAGGTAGACCAAAAAGTGACAAATGCTTGGAAAAGTCAGTCCGTAGAAGATTTAAGTACCAAGTTGGCTTCGTTAAATGGCAAGAGTAACAGTGATTTCGCTGACAAATTCTATGACTTTGTCAGTAAAAAATATGATTGGAGGGATTGGAACGTTGTTGTTTACAACCCAATCAGCGGGCAAGACAATCATCGGATAAGAGCGTGCAACGGGAAACATTATTACCGAACGCATGGCAGAAATGTCATTATGGGAAGCGTTGACCAAAGCAAAGCTGCCATTAATAGAGGAATTGCCTTGGATGTGTTCAGAAAGGCCAAAACCGTATATACTTATCAATTTATATTTGGCTATCACCAGGGTCCTTGGGGAGCTACAAATGTTTTCGATTCACTGCCGACTCAATTTAGGACAGGGTGCAGTCCTTATGCGGCAGTAGGCGTCATAGATAAAGACGCAGGTATTCAATACCGGGCCCCATTTAGGCGCCTTGCTATCAAAACCAATGGAGAATACAAGCTTCATGCGTTTGGTTAAATAAGTGACAAACTAGCTTACGATAAACGGTTATGATTTCTGTTAATGCTTTTTTTTTCACATAAAGTGTTTGTGGTAGTTATGGTGTTTGGTTATTTCTAAGGTAAAACAAATTAATTGATTAATTAATTAATTGGATAAACTTTTAAACTTTCCAAGATGTGTATGATTTCAAAGATTATATATATAATGCACATCTAGCTTAA